CTTGTCCCTGCCCTCCCTTCACCCTCTCCTCCTCTCCATGTTTATAAAGACTTCGTTTCCATTTTTTCTTTTTCTCCTATTTTTTCTTTTCCCTTCTTTCCTTTCCCCCACCCCTCCCACCTTCCCTACCCCTTTAGTCCTTTCCTTCCTATTTCACAGTATCAATTATACATTTTGATCCTTACTTACACTTTAAGGTTTCCTACCAGAGGAACTATTCAGTAGAGGATACATCTTGCGTGTGGGCCTCGTACAGTCCTGTTGATTTGGGAAGGCCAGAGTCTCCTCAGGAGCAGGTCGCTGTTGTTGTTGTTATTATTATTAATTTTTGTTTGTCTGTTTACTGAGACAGCCTCTCACTATAGCCGAGGCTGGCCTAGAACTCGCATCAGCCCTCCTGCCTCAGCCTCCCAGGAGAGTGCTGGGATCACAGGAGTGTGCCACACCCAGCAGGCGCAGGTCAGAATGGAGAGCCCTTGATCCCACCAGCTCTCCCCAAATTCTGGCTGAGGGGCTGGGCAGGAGGAGCCGGGCAGGGATTCACTCTGGGGAAAGCTCCGTCATGATCTGGAAAACGAGGTGTCTGCATGGGGCTGTGAAAGACCCAGGACTGGAGAGGTTGCCAGCGTGCCTGGCTTCCCCAAGCACCCAGCAGGGCAGAGAAGGGCAGGACGCCGACAGCGACAAGGATGGTGCCAGAGCGCAGGCCTGTGATTCAGCACTGTTTGAGGCTGAGGCAGGAGGGTGGCAAGTTTGAGCTCAGTCTGCACAATTAAAATTGTGACTTAGTGAGATTCAGTCTCAGAAAAACAAAAATACCCCACACAGAGCTTAGCTCAGCAAGAAGGCCCTGGCTTTGAGCGCCAGTCCCACAAATCAGCGACAAAAAGAGGTGGTGATGGAAAGCGATCAGCACGTTTCAAATCCCCAAACCAAAAGCAGCGCCATGAGGAACTGCTGGTCAGGCAAGAGCAGCCCCAGCACTGAAAAGACTGCTGAGGAGAGGTGTCTGAGCTCCGAGGGCACTGCGGGAAGTCACTGCTGCCCTCCGGGTAAGCAAACCTGTGTTTCCACACAGTGTCCACCTTGCCCCAGAAACCACTGCTCCCCTCACCGGATCATGGCATCCTCCAGGAAGGAGAGAGACTTGAGCCCAACACTTAGCTGCATCCTCACCCTCTTTTATTTTAGTGTGACTGGGTCTCTGAGATTCTCCTGCCTCAGCCTCCCGGATACTGGCATTACAGGCCTAGAACTCCAACCCCGGCTTCCAGCAATGTCCTTAAGAAGAACTTATGGCTCACTTCTTGCTCCCCGACTGCTTCTCTTCAACTCTACTGCGTTACAGATCCTTAGTTTCAGCACCTGGGCCTGGGCAGCTATCTGCAGCCTCTGCTGTGGGTCACTGCTCTGTCACGGAAGGGTTGGTGGTCAGGCCTCTGGCTTACTCCTGATCCTCCCAGGAGGTGAGAGAACCAAGGTTGTTGGCCAGACTTTTCTGTCTACCTCTTTTATTTTATTTTTGCTTTTATTTGTTTTGAGACAGGGTCTCATTCAGGCTGGTCTTGAACTATGTATCCCAGGCTGCCCTTGAGCTTGAGGAGATCCTCCTGCCTCAGCCTCCTAAGTGCTGGGACACCTGGCTGTCCAACTCCTCAGCACCTAGATGACCCTGTGTTGGCACGGGCCCTTTTGTGCCTCAGTCCTCTCTGAGAGCCCAGTAGGCATGTTGGGGGCCTCCCTGCGTGGGTCCCCAATTTACCTAACATACATGTGCCAGTTCTCACTGGTCATAGACCCCGCGTCCAACACCTACGTGTAACCCTCAGCCGGGGCAATTGTGCCCTGGATCAGGAAGAGCTGCGGTGCCATGAGGGTCCCCTGAGCTTGTGTTGTGGCACAGAGATGCATCCACCGAGGCCACTGTGGACAGTGAATAGCTGAGCGGCCTTGGCCACGTGGTGATGCGGCTCCTGCGGGCCCTGCCAGGCCTCTGTGCTGCACCTCTGACCACAGGTAACTGTACCTTATGCAGCCTCGTAAGTGTCACATTTTCCACATTTTTGTGCCTTCTGTTGTGATTTTGCCTTATGGTTTCTTTTCATTGGAGGTGGAGTCTTGCTGTGGAGCCCAGGCTGGCCTTGAACTCATGATCCTCCTGCCTCAGCCTCCTGAGCATTGAGATTCCAGATGTGCACCACGCCTGGCACATGCAGCTTACAGATAGCCTCTGTGAGCATCTGTAGTTTGTGCAGACAGCAGCTCCACAAAGAACAGTGCAAGTGGGAGAAGTCACAGCGAATGGCAGTGAGGGCTCCTACACTACCCTCTCTGCCCTGAACCTCCGCTCTCCTTGGTAGAGGAGGGCAGGGTGATTCCTGAATCTGCTTCTTGATTGTCCTTCCTTTTTTTGAGACAGGGTCTTGCTGTGCGCCCCTGGCTGGCCTCAAATTCGAGACAGATTCTGCTGCCTCAGCCTCCTAAGTGCTAAGAACACAGGCCTGGCTCTTCCTTGTTTCAGCTCAGTGGTCTTTCGCGTTTGAGGGTGGCATACGCTGCACAGCCACTGTGGCGACACGGGCCGGGGACAAAGAGACCAGCAGATCCGCTGTGCAGTAGGGGCTGGGAAGGCAAAGCTAAAGTCAGCCCAGCCTGCCTAGCTCCGCCCTCCGTCCCCTTCCCGGGTCAGGAGACTTCCTGCTTTCCTGTCACACGCCGGCCTTCGAGGGCCACTTCCTGTTCACCAGTCCCCTTCTATGAAGCTCTGTGCCGTGACCACGGCCAGGCAGGCCTTGGTGCTGAAAGCGCTGAACCCCGAGGTGCTGGGCAAGTCTGTGAAGCCTCGGGTGCATGCACAGCCGGAAGTGACCTCTCCCCCACCACTTCTTTTGCAGTACTGGGGGTTGAACTCAGGCCCTTTGCACTCAGCTACACCTCAGCCCTACGTATTTGTTTATTTTCATTTCGAGAGAGGATCTTGCTAAGTCACTATGTAGCCCAGGATGGGCTAGAACTTGCAGCAATACTCCTGCCTCAGCCTCCCACAGTGCCAGGATGTCAGGAACATGTTGCTATGCCTGGCATGGACTCCTTCTTTAACAGTCTCCCCAGGCTCCCCGGTACCCGCTCCCTGCTCTAGATGCTCCAGGACAGAGGGAAATGTGATGCCCAGGTGAGGCCACCTGCACTTCCTTGGGACCCTGGTGGAGTTGTGTCCCTCACTGGAACAGCGCTCAGTGGGTGGGGGAGGGGAGCTGTCACTCAAGAGCCCCAACTGGGCGCCCTGCCAAGCTGCAGGTGTTGCTCTGTCTTCTCCCTGCTTGATCTGTCTCTCCTCGCCCAGCTGCTACGCCCTAGTGACCCTGCCACCAAATGCCTCAGAGGGGGACCCTCCCCTCCCTGCCCTTCTACACCAACCCCTCCCTCTTCTCTTTTCTTTTTTCTTTTTTTTCTCTCTCTCTCTCTCTTTCATTTTTGAGATAGGGTCTTACTATGTAGCTTAGGCTGGCCTTGAACTCAGTATATATCCCAGGCTGGCCTTGAACTCTTGGGGATCCTCCTGCCTCAGCCTCTGGAATGGGGCTGTGATTAGAAGCTGTGCCCTCACATGCAGCCAGGTTGTCGACAAGGACCTTCCCAGCCTTCCGGAAGGGTGTGGGCCTTGTGGTGCCCCCCTCACAACCCGAAGTGACCATGGAGCTCTGGGAGTGAAAAGGAAGACTCAGTTGACCTCTCCGGCAGGGCCCAGTGTCCCGGGAAAGGGGCGGACCTGGATTCCCGAGCGCTGGCGTCTGAGAAGGGGGCTCCCGACCTGCTGTGCTGCCGTCCCCTCCGGCTCGGGTGGACGTCTCAGGCCGTGGGACCCGGTGTGCCCGCCCCTTCACTCTGGTCAGTCCCTGCTCGCCAAGCACTTTGGTGACTGTGGGCTGTCTTTGTTACTTTGCAGAATGATTTTGTTTTGAATCTTTTTAAATTTTTACTCCTATCAGCATACATTTGCTGTACAGAACTGGATCAGTTCATCATAGGGAGCTGTGCATGTACATGGCTCACCTGAACTCTTTCTGTGTCATCCTAAATGAGCCGGGTGTGGTAGTGCACACCTATGATCCCAGCAGTGGGGGAGGCTGAGGCAGGAGGATCCAGTGAGTTCAAACCAGCCTGAACTGCAGACCCTGTCTCAAAAACCAAAAACAGAAACCAAGAAACAAAACCCAAATCAGCCTCTTGCCTTCCTACATGTTTCCTCTGTGGTCCTGCTGGGGGTCAGAATCCCCAGTACAGCCAGCTTTGGGACACCGCCGAGGTCACATCTGCCTGTGAGGAGCGGTGGGCTCTTCTCCAAGCCTCTCTCGCCGCCTGTGCACCCCTACCCTTCTCGGGTATCGCGAGAAGACGGCTTCCTCCGAGACCAGGGCACAGCGGGCTGGAAATACCCTGCGGCCTGCGGGCCCTCAGCCCTGGCGCTTCTGCTGCGGGTGAATTCGTTAGCAATAACCAAACCCTCACCACGACAGGAAGAGATTCTGCGGAGTCTGGTGTGAGAGGAGCTTCCTCTTCCTAGATCGGGCCTTCGGCCCCCCAGAAAGGTGCGCTTCTTCCCGAGTTGTGTCCTTTCGCCGTGTAGGATGCAGAGGTGCTAGGCTCAGTTGTTTCATTCTCAGCCTTGGCAGCAGGTACCAGGTCTACCTTCGGATGGAAACTGAAAACAACGACATCTGGACATGGTGGCGTATGCCTGTGACCCCTGTACTGGGGAGGCTGAGGCAGGAGGATCACCATGAGTTCGAGGCCGGACTACACTACACAGTGACTACAAGGCCAGTCAGAAGTACATAGTGAGATCCTGTCTCAAAAAAAAAAAAAAAAAAAAAAAAACCACCCGGAAACAACAACAATAGCAACAAATGAGGCCAGGCATGGTGGCAAAAACCTGTAATCCCAGCACTCAGGCAGGAGAGAGTCACTGCGAGTTCAAGGCCAGCCTGAAGTAGGCAGAAGGACTCTCTCAAAAACTCAAACGAAAATTTAAACCTGAAAACGAGATTCGAACATGTCCAAGATCTCGGTTGATTGTCTCAGAACTTTTCTAACAGCTGCACTTCATCGGGGGGTATCAACTGTTGTTAACGCCGTGTGTGACACTACTAACGGTGCCCTGAGGACCGGTGGCGGCCCGTTTTCAGTCCGAAAAGCAGTGATAACAGCGCAGCCTCAGTCAGTGCGGAGCGCTTAGCCCAGCCCATGCTGGTTTAGGGCGGTTCTGACCCATCTGCCCCAGGGACTCCTCATCCTGTGGGACTAAATCATCCTGGCTCCTGGCAGCGTCATCTGCTCGTGAGACTGAGCTCCTGTCCCAGAGAATCAGGCCGCTTTGCCGATTGTTTTATGCCAGAGAGGTTGGGTCCCTTTATTTCCTCTCAGGATGGAGGTGAGTTTTCTACTCTGTGGATTTTGGAAAGATCACTGGCAGAGGCCAAGATTATGGTTTCACCTCTCAGCTATGATAATAAGGTCCTGTATCTTTGTAAATAAAAAGAAGAATTTTCAAGAATATTCTGTAATGCCTACTAAATAGAACAAGATCTGGACACTTATTTTTAGGATGGAATCAAGGCTGCTTTAACACTGAGCTATACCGACAGCCCTTTTTCATTTTTTATTTTAAGACCTGCTCTCACTCGCTAAGATGCCCAGGTTGGCCACTGACTCAAGATCCTCCTGCTTCAGCCTCCCTAGTAGCAGGATTACAAACATACCACGGAACCATTTTGATGATAGATGCTTGGTGGACTCAAATACATTTTTATATGGGCCTATGCTAGCTTCTGGTTAGTGAAATTGTAGGTTAACAATTGCCTAGCCACCTAAATAAGGAATTGGCACATGAAGCAAGATTTTATTTTATTTTATTTTATTGGTACTGGGAATGGAACTCAGGTCCTTGTGCTTGCCAGGCAGGCGGTGGCAGCGCTGAGCTAAATCCCGGGCGGCTTGCTCTGTGCAGAGTCCACCTTGAGAGTGGAGATGTTCCCAGGTGCTTACGTGCGAACACCAGGGTGCCTTTGGCGGATGTGTCTTTGCACACCCTGGTGCCCAGAGTGCCGTTACATGAGTGACACATCCTTTGCACCAACACTGAGCCTTCCTCGTGATTATCACTTTCTTTGCAGTAAGATGCACGTGTGCTCGATGTATGGCATGGCCCTGAAGAGCAGCCACACCCCGGGGACAGGTGGCCCCTGACTGCTTTTGGTCAATGTATTTGATGTCCTCAGTCTAGCTCTTCACCCACATGGAATTATGCAGCACATCACTGTGTATTGTGTTTTGGGGGGGACCCCACGGCCTCACACTACGTCCTTGGCCCTTTCTTCCTTTTTTATTTTGAGCTGGAGGCCCACTAAGTCACGAAGTTGCCCAGGCTGGGATTGAATTTGGGACCCTTCTGCCTCAGCCTTCCAAAGCCCTGGGGTCAGTCCTGTGCCAGCATGTTCTCTCAGCAGGTACCTTTCAATTCTGACTTCTTTTACACAGCATAACGCTTTCAAGAGGTAAGACCTATGCTGTGGTGTAAGTTAGTAATTCATTCCTTCTTATTGCAAAGTAGTATATACCATTGGAAGGATGCACTGCATTTATTTTTCCATTCACCTCTTGATTAATATTCATCTTATTTTCAGTTTGTTGAAGCTTCTGTGAACATAAGAGTAGCAAATAGGAATAAGAATACTGGGTCATTTAATTTAATTTGACTTCTTTCTCCCCCCCCTTTTTTTTTTGTAGTACTGAGGATCGAACCCAAGACTTTTGCACTGAACTACATCCCCAGCCCTTTTTAATTTTCAAATATTTATTTATTTATTTATTTATTGGGTTTTTTTTGAGACAGGATTTCACTGTGTAGGCCAGGATGGCTTTGCACTTGAGGTGATCCTTCTGCCTCAGCCTCCCAGAGTGCTGGGATTACAGGCGTGCGCCATCACACTCAGCACTTTCTAATTCTTTAGCGTAACGACTTATTTAGAAGTGTGTTGCTTAATTTTCAAATATTTGGAGATTTTTTTTTCAGCTATCACTCTATTGTTACATATATGTTAATTCCACTCTGGGCAGAGGACAGACTCTAGGGCTGCAGGGCTTTAGTGTGTTGAGAGCATTTGGCTGCCATATGGCCGATGTTAGCAGGTGCCCACTTCACATGCAAACAGCACCTGTCCTGCTGTTACTAGGTGCAGCCTTCTGTGAGGCCGAGTTTGGGGGTGGAGTGGGAACGGTCTCTAGGTATTTACTGGTTTCTATTGTTTTTTTCCCATCTATCAAGTAGTAAAGGAGAAGCGTTGAAATCTCTAGCTGTTCATTTCTTTTTTGTTGTTGTTCTTTTTTGTTCATTTTTCAATAGAGCCTAATGAGGCCCTTTTTCTTTCCTGGCCGTGGGCCCCTACTTTTAACCTAAACATGTCCTTGTGGACTGGGTCTTGCTTTTCATACAGATTCACAATCTTTGCCTTTTGATGGAGGTGTGAGTGTGGAAATGTGAAACCCAAATGAAAAGTAGAGGCCATTTACATTTAATGTAACTTCTGACGTACTTGCCTTTCTATCTGCCTCCTCTGCTCTTTGTTAACCTCCTCTTGCTGTCTTTTTGGATTAGGTCTTCCATTTCTACAGTTGGCTTGGTCTCTGCATTTCTTTAAGTTTTTGCAACTGAAACTTTAATTCACCACGATCTATCGTCAAATACAACACCATTTGATGTTCCGTGTAAAACCTTCACTGTACACTTCCTCCTTCCTACACTTTACATTTCCACGTGTTATAAGCCTCACCCCAGAGATTGTCAGGATTTTTGCTTCCAACAATTATCTTCGAAGAAATATTTGATGTGCAAGAAAATAATTTCCATGTGTGTCATTTTCAGTTCCTTTCCCCTTCCCGATTATCAACGAGCCTTTCCCTTCTGCTGGAAACATTTTGGAGCAGTGCTATCTCTGTTGGGAGCATTTTGTTGTTGCTTCAAAGATATTTTAAAAGCTTGTTTTTTTCACTAGAGACACAGCACATAATGTTTGGTCATTGGGAATTTTATTTCGCCATCTTAAAGATGTCATTTCTTATCTTCTAACTCGCCTTGCTTCTGATGATAAGTCTGTGGTATGTGCTATCATTGTTTCCCATTTCTCTGGCTGTTTGTAAAATTTTTGATCACATGCTTTTAGCAGTTGAAGAATGACATCCACCGGGGTGGTATGTGTGTGCGTCTATTAAAACTTTTATGTCCCTTCCCGCCGTGAGACTGCAGTTACACGCGGCAGACGACCTATGCTGGTGCTGCTGACCTTTCAGTCTGGTTCTCCTTGACTGAGCTTGGGTGGTTTACATTGCTATGTCTCCAAGTTCGCTGATCTTTTCTGCTCTGGTGCCTAAGCTGCCATATGATCTGACAAGGGAACTTTTCATTGGTATATTGTGGTGTTTCAGCCCTTTATTAACCCTGTTGCTCTGTTTACACTGTTTATTTCTGTTTGTTATGTCTTTCCTTTGACATGAGCATGATTATAACTTCAAAACCTTTGCCTGCTAGCTCAGTCATTGATGTTGGCTGTTTCCACCTCTTGAGTATTTGCCTGATTGTTGATCGTATTCTATTGTCTTTTGTGTATTTCTTTTTTGTTCAGTGCTAAACTTTATAAATGCCATGTTGTTGTTGAGTGAAATGTTGGTGTCCTCCTTTAAAGAATGCTAAATATTATGAAGCAGGCCACTAGGTCACTTATCAGCTTGATTTGTATTTATTTATCTGGTTTTATGAGACAGGATCTCCCTACATAGTGCAGGCTGGCCTTGAACTCACCAGTAGCCCAGGGTTGGATCCTCTGCCCTGGTTTCCCCAGTGCTTGGGATAACAGGCGTTTGCCATCACAGCTGGCTTGTATGAGCTGTCCAACTTGCTCACCTTACAGGGCTCCGGCAGGCGTTCTCTCCCCAGACACATGGATGTTCTTCTGGCCCTGGGCCAGTTCGTGCCATCCAGCGGGTGTGAGTGTTCAGACCTGAGAGACGTGCCTTCTACCGGAAATGGTGGGTACCGGGCCCCTACTCGCGGGGCCTACCTCCCTCCTCTACTCAAAGGCCCCAGCTCTGCCTCAGTTTCCCCATCCTGTCATCTGGGAGCTTCCTCAGATGTTGGCCTCCTGTCCTCAGCGCAAGGCCCCAGCCCCTTGGGGCCTGCAGTGCCAAGCAGTGACATACTTGTTCGTGGCCTTTACCCCATACTACTTCCTCCTGTGTGTGTGGGAGAGGAAGTATATTATGTTTTTGAAAGAGATTTTTTTTTTTGAAAGCTTGACCTAAACCATTATTCATCAGTTTAGTAAATACTCACTGAATTCCCACTGTGAGCCAAGGCCCTGCGGATATGAGTGGGGACAGAGCAGACGTTTCCTGGTCTCCTCAACCAGAAGAGTTAGGTGGCAGGCATTAAACAGGTAATCATACCAGTAACTGACTATGTCTTCTGTTAAGTTGCTGGCACCCCAAATTGAACTCAGGACCTTGCATTTGCCAGGCAGGCGCAATGCCACCGAGCTGTATCCCCTGCCCTGTTTTGGTTTTTGAGACAAGGACTAGATGTGTAATTCAGGCTGTCTTTGAACTTGGGGTCATCCTGCTGCCTCAGCCTCCTGAGTGCTGGTATCACAGGCATGTGCTACCATGTCTTGCTTTGCCCAGTGATCATTTAATGAGAGTTATTAAATACCAGAACTTTTTTTGCAAACCACAAAAACATTTTTTAAGCAAATAATTTGATTTTAATTACAAATACTGTGCAAGATGACACCTTCTATAGCAAAACAGATAAATGCAATAACAAATTTTAAACATATTAATTGTTCAACAACATATATGAAAAAAATGAAAAGCCTATTTTTTTCAGTATATAGGTAAGTTAGGTATTTCTAACCTTTCAAAATAACCCTGAAGGTATGACTTAAATGGAAAGTAGTGAGAAAGTGAAGCCAGGTGTGGTGGCACACTCCTGTAATCATAGTACTTGGGAGGCTGAGGCAGGAGGATCACTATGAGGTCGAGGCCAGCCTGGGCTACATAGTGAGACTTTGGCTTAAAAAAAAATACAGTAATACCGTATTTAGTATCTATCTTGTAAGCTTTTTTTTTTTTTTTTTTTTGAGACAGGGTCTCACTATGTAGAGACTGACCTGGAACTCACTATGTAGCTCAGGCTGGTTTCAAACTCCCAGGGATCTTCCTGCCTCAGCCTCCTGAATGCTGGGATTACAGGCATGTGCCACCATGCCCGGCCCTATCTTATAAGCTTTAAATCACAGTTATTCTGCTTAACAAGTCACCTTCAAGAAAATGGCAGTGTTCCTAAGTGGAAAACTACTGTAGCTAGTAGGTGACATTCTACGTAGTGAGGACAATTGGAGAAATCTTGGTTAGACATAACCAGTGGTTTACTATTGACTTATTTTTAGATGTACTGGTCTTTCTGCATGCAACTGTTTCCCCTACTCAACAGCTCTTCTTTTCATTTACCTTCGTGCGTTTGACTTCCATTTTACCCAAAGAGTTTGAGGTTGGCAGGCGGACAGCACCGTATTCCCTGTCAAACTGAACACAACACTATTAAGCTCTTGCAATTTCAACCCATGGGAAGTTATACTGATGCCGACATTGCCATTTTCTGCAAAAGTTGTGCAGTGCTGGCCACGTGAGAGGCGAGGCAGTCCCTTCACAGTGGCTGTCCTGATTTCCTGCTGAATGGATGGATGCAGGAGCCGCCTCCCAAGGCAGCCACTGCCTCTAGCCTTGCACTCAAGGCAATCAGTGCCACTCCCAGCTTGCTTGCATGTTCCTGTGGGCTGTGTGGACGTGAACTGCTGCGGGGGGCGACCGTACTATTCCTCCTGTTTCTCCAAGAGCAACACAACATGGCTGCCAGAACAGGACTGAATCTTCACGCAGTCCACGGCTCCAGGAAGACTTGTGTCTGTGGCAGGAAAACTGCATCCTGTCCTGCAGGCCGGGACTGGACTCCTGCTGGCCTCACGAGGGGCTGGCAGCTTCCAGAGACTTTGCTGTTCCCGGGCAGCACCGGTGTGTGGCAGGTCAAGGCCCAGCTGGAAGAGGTCCATTTACCAGGAGAGGTGCTGGATCGGCCACTTTCCCCATGGGGCCCTGGAGAGTGGGGACAATGTGTGAGCTTTTGGCGACAGTTGCTACAATGAAGGAGGCCACTCTGCCCTGAAGAATGGTGGTGACAGGGAATCAGAGCAGAGGGACACTTGCTGGCCAGGTCACTGCTGGATAGGGCCGCTCTGGAGTGTGGGGACAATGAGGCAACAGTGAGACAGGAAGATTGGCTGAGGCTAAAGCTGGCTGCGGAAGAAGGTGAGCAGAGGTCCCCACACGCGTGCAGACCCATTCCCAAAGTCCCGCCCGTGCACTTCTTGTCAGGCCTTCAGCAGTTTTTTGACTGGATGGCCCGGACGGCAGCCAGCATGGAAGAACAAAAGAAGGAGCCTTGCCGTGAACCATTTGCTATCTTGTGTCTTCGCGGTATTTACAGATATTTTTGCTACCTTTTTCTTACTTTTACTTGGCCCAGCGTCACTGTTTATGTCTGTTTCATTCAATTCTTTGGGACAGAAAGGACCTAGAAAGATCCTCTAGAAGGAGACTGCGGCCCTCCTCCCCAGCCCAGTGACACGAGGGAAGCCACTGCAGTCCCACGGCTCAAATGCTCTCGGTCACTGTCTGCTCCATGGTGGGACCCACAGGACACCCTGGGCCTCGCGCTCCCACGAAATGTCACACGCCACGGGGCCAAGTGGATTCTCACCTTTTAGCTCATAGTTTCCCTTGTCAGGCAGCCAGAAACCTGATCCTCTTTCTTACCCCTTTCTTTTCTAGCTTATTGCTCCCTGGAGTCTTCAATCCTCCAAAAATTTCTCTCATTTAAAACCTCATGAAGCCGGGCACCCCTGTCATCCCAGCACTCACAAGACTGCGGCAGGAGGATCGCCACGAGTTCAAGACCAGCCTGAGCTACAAGGTGAGACCCTGTCTCAAAAAAACCTAAATAAATCCATAAATAGACAGGAGCCCCCACCTGACCTCTGCCACCCTATCCTGGCATTTCTTCTGGATGTTTTTAATGTCCCTCAGATCTGTCAAGGCCTGCGAGTTCAGACTGTGCCGGATGGAAGGAAGTGGGCTTCCTGGGACTGTGGTAGGGTGACAAGATGGTGTCCCAAAAGAACTCGTACTCCCACCTCCAGCCATCTGAATTCCTGGCATGAGAATCTGCTTTGACTAAATCCTTGACTATGTAAGAAAAGCTGAGAAGCCAGACTTGTAGATGAAACCTCCGAGTTTCTAAGTGTTTCCAACTTCTTGAGCCAGTCAAAACTGAATTTGAGCTCTGGCCTGGGCTCATTGTTACTCCTCTTCTGAATTCTCTCTCGACAGCCAGTGTTCATCCGTTAATGTTCCTACTCCTTACGTGGCAATAGCATCTAATCCATCTGTTCTCCTTTCCCACTAATTCAGACTTTTCCCTTAGTAGCTCTTGTACCATGAAGCTCTGGTCTTGGGAAAGAGGAAGACGGAGACAACAGGAACAGAGGAGCAGTTTGCATAGTTCTGGGTTTAGATATTAAGATTTATAAGACAGTAAGGATGCCGGGTTGAGGTGGTGCATGCCTGTGATCCTAGATCTTTGGAGCCCGAGGCAGGAGGATTGCCTGAAGTTTGAGGCCAGCCTGGGCTACATGGTGAGTTCAAGGCCAGCCTAAACTACATAGTGAGACCCTGTCTCAAAAATTCAAAAGAAAAAATAGAGAGAGGGAGAGAGAAGCATCAGGGATGTCAGATTTGAAGAAAGGAGATTCTTGGGAACTAGTTTTAGCTATCAGTTAGATCAGTGATCTGTGGAACAGCATGAGAGCTGTGGAAGTTTCATACTCACAGCAGAAGAGCCCGAGGGAAATGTGAGGAGAAGGGCAGAGGGGAGGCAAGGAGAGAGCAGAGGCCCCTCAGGACCTCGGAGTAGGGTGGTGAGGGCAGAGGCCCAGCACTGAGGACCCACAGAATGTTCTAGAATGGTAGGAGGCCGCAGGCCTTGCAGAGAGGCAGTGCCCAGCCTACTGTGCCGCCTGTGTGATGCAGAGTACATGGCAGGTGCTGGAGGGAGAGGCTGAGGACAGTGGGCCCCATGTGGCCTCACCTAGCTCTGCGCTCTGAGGCCCCTGCATCAGGTCCCGAGGGAGGGGAGCCTGAGCTCCCTGACAGGAGCCCAAAGACGCCCAGGATTGAGGGCCCTTTGTCACCATGGAGCGTGGCCCCGAGCATCCTGTGACCAAGCAAGTCTGCTGCTCCATAGTGACCACCGAAAGAGAAGCCCACGCCTGGGGGGACCCGAGTGACTCGGCGATGCGTGGAACACAGGACAGTCACCCACCCTGACACAGAACAACACGTGGAGCCAGGCGTGGTGGCTCAAGGCTGCCATTCCAGCACTGGGGAGGCTGAGTTAGGAAGATTGTCCCAAGATTGAGTTCAAGGCCAGCCTGGGCTACATAGGGAGACCTTGTCTCAACAACAACAACTACGACGACAACGACAGTACACCCCCAAGCCCCAAAATAAGCAACAACAACAAAAACAAAGACAGGACATGGTAGGGCCTTATCCCCAGAGACGTAGAAAGGAGCAGGTGAAGAGGTGCCGAAGAAGAAAGTCTTCCAGTCCAATATGGGAATGAAGGCTGTGTTTAGGAAAGAGCGGTGGGCGGGCTAGGGGCCTGGCCTGCTGACAAGGAGAGACCTAGCTCACCTCTGCCTCTGCCGAGGACAGGGGGAGACTTGGAGCCAAGGACAAGGGTGGGAGTTCGTGTGTGGAAAGTTCCTAAGAGGAAACACCAGGGAGAAGGGGAATTCTGAGACGGTGCAACCGAATTCTTGCTGAAGACAGGCCAGGGCAATAAATAATAAGGGTGAGGGTAGAGGACGGACACCGACGTTTGGGGAGTTTTGCTAGATGGACTGAGCAAGATTCTCGCTGCCACTGAATTCTGCAGAAACGCAAGGGAGCCGAAGATCGGGGCCTGGTTAGAGAGAGGACTCGTGGGTGTCGAGGACAGGGTTGTGAAAGGGAGATGGGGAAGAATCCAGGAAGAATCACTGTACCCTTAGGACAGGGGCTGAGGTGAAATGCAGGAATTTGGCTGCAACATCACTGCATGAGGCTGAGAATACTGAATGGCATAGATCAAAGTGGGATGGACAGCAGCCCTGACCCCATCTTAGAAAGAAATTCAGTTGCGCTGTTTCTGCACAAGTCTGTCTCCTGCTACCTTCCTAGTGTTTTCTAGCCAGAGGGGTCAGCCACGAAGGAAACACAACAGTCTCCATGCTGTGCCCCTCTCACCCGCCACACTCATCCTCCAGAATCACCGAGGTTCTTTTTTGCTGCCTATGCAGTCACTGCAGTGTGCTCATCTCCTCAGAAGGAAGCTCTTCAAAGACTGGGACAAACCTCTCTCATCTTCACATCCTCAGCACCTAGCACCGTGCCCGGCAGGCGGGAGATGCTCGGTGAATGTTAGGTGGATGTATACATCAACATTCCAATGCTCACGGCCAAACCACAGTGAGAGAAGGCGGACTGGGAGTGGGACGGAAAAGACTCGGTACCTTCTCGTAGAAGCTGGTCCTCGGGTCTGCGGCTCTGCTGTGAGTTACAGTGAGCCCCACACTATTCTTTATGTCACTGTTAGCCACCAGCCCGTGTCCCAAACAAGTGCAGTCACGAAGAGGCAGAGAGCAGTTTTCTCTCTGGGGCAGAAGAGTTGGGGAGAGGGGCAGTGTGAGGCCCTGAGGGCACACACATCTCTCAGGGAGCCAGAAAGAGGCTTTTCACAGACTCTTGGGGTGGCGCATGACCAGTGCAATCGCACACGGCCCTGTGCCTGCTTTAATGCTGGAGCACCATCTTGCAATTCTTCACGACTTGGTGAGATGTAGGACCCTGCATTTTCATTTGAGTTGGGCCCCACCAAGCTGGTCTTGAAGCCAGTCCTGCTTAGGGGGCACTGGAAGGGAGGAAAGGGACACTCAGGAGCACTAGGGAAGTGACGTCACCTTCCCGGTTTGGCAGGAGGCACTGTGGTCGAGCCAGCAGCGTGGTCAGGAGGACAGAGGCAGCAGACAGCCCCAGGGTGAGCATCAGCTGCTGCTTCCTGTGCCTGAGACAGCGCGGGACCCTTCACTGCCAGCCTCCTTTCCTGCTGTAGCACTCGAGTGATGCCGTCTGGGTCATGCCATTGATGGATCAGGCTTCCTTCCTTTGAGGCAGATGGCCATGCATTCCACGTCCTTGGCTGATGTCATGCTGCTGGCCTTATTAACGCTCCAGGAGGTCACCGGGCAGCAAGGGTGATCAGAGCCACATTGTACCCGAAGAAGCAGCTACAACTGAGATGCTAGAGATTATTCAACACGTGCCCCACGAAGCTCAGCTTTATTTGGTAATATCCAGCGGTTACAGCTTGCTGGAAACAGTCCTGATCATTAATATCCTATCTGGTGGCCAGGAAAGTACTGCGCTGCTTGACACACTCCGCTGGGGCGTGTCACCTTGTCCCTTTTGAAACAAAAGATGACAATCTGCTTTATCTAATGCATTTCCTCAGCACATTCATCATTGGTATTGTCCTCTTCCCTTCCCAGATAAGGGCTCCTCTCAACAACTAGCCGAGCATTTATGTCTCGATGTGTGTTTCTTTGCTGTAGTTGGCACAAGTCTGTCAGGAGAACTGATAGAACTCTTTGTTCTTCATCTCGCACTGTTGCGAGGCTGAGAAATGACAAGGCTGCGTGAAGGAAAGTCCCCTCTGTCATTTTCATGAACGTCTTTATAAGCATTTCAGATATTTGGCTCTCTGTCAGACTTCAAGCAAATCCAAAGCTAATCCTTGTCCTCGAGCGAGTAACTTAATATCTCAAACATGTGGGGGAACACACGCATGGACAGCCCCTCGCTGCGGATGGGGCTGCGCATACCCAGGAGTGTGGTGCAGCACTTAGCAGGCTGCAAACACAATACATTAAAGATCAGAGGAGCTTTTCATTTTCATTTGAAGGACCTGAACAGAGGCAGGGATTTTGCTAATCCTCAGATTAAACAAGAAGTCTCCCAGAGTCACAAACCAACACAGCTTCCGTGGCCAAGGGAGCCCCATTCACGTCACGTGGTGTTCTGTTCACGGCCGTTAGCCCTTGGCACACGTCGCATTATCAACATTGGATAAATATTTGTCTGATGATAAGGAATATGAGTTTAAATCCTGTGCTCCCATACTGAAATTTCATTTCAGTTCTTTGAGTCCTGTGAAAATCACGGAGTAAATGTCTGTTAGAGCCATGGAAACAATAATGTAGAAGGAAGGATAGCCACACACAGTGCTGCATGCCTATAATCCCAGCACTCAGGAGGCTGAGGCAGGAGGATTGTCATGGGTTTGAAGCCAGCCTGAACTACGGAGGGAGATCCTGTCTTGAAACAAAACAAAATAGAATAAAGGAGGCCACTTTTTGTCACCTGTCTGCCCTCACCCCTGCTCCTCTTCCCAGGAACCCCTCCTCAAGATGGGGAAAAAGAAGGTGACAAACTGCAGGAGCTGATGTTGCCCTGGTTAGAAACTGGCTCTTCATTGTCCCAAAGGGGTAACCAGAAACCATCTCCGAAGCTGTCGTTGGTCCTTTCCTACTGATGGCGTGGCCTGTTAGCCCCCACTTGGCAGTGTAGGAAGGGAGCTCAGCCTTTCCTGGAATGGTCTGTTCACCTTTTGAAATACACATTTAAAAATAAATCATTTCGTATGTTGAATTGAATGCCTGTATTTTTTAAAACTTCTAAACACCAGCTTTGAACTTCTGGAGGGCTTTCTGTCCCCTTTCTTAGCATGGCCTGATAAGACGAAGTCTTTGTGGTACAATGGGCAGCTGGAAAGGGCCCCAGTTACAAACACAGTGGAAGAGCGGGATGCTGTCC